TATATATATATTTGTGTGTGTGTGTTATTTTTAAATTTCAACAATTTAATTAAAATTAAATATTTTAAAGGTATTAACAAATACCTTTCTTATATTTGGAGCGTTCGAGGAGACGTTATTAGCGCTACTTCTACTATGGTTTTCTGATTCATGGTTCATGACATCTTTAGACTGTACTTAAGACAATCTTAAATATAAGATCTGACTATCAATACAGGTAGAGAAAAATCTGAATATTAATTTGATAGATTTTAATTTTTTATTTCAACGATTTCAGCGATTTATTTCCATCAGGAGTACCGCAAAAAATGGATATTGTAGTTTACATCGACTTCTTCAGAGGGCAGTAATGCGTGGCGGTCCTCTCTCAGATTTCTTTCTGTCTGTACTATATTCATACATATATTTATTGCATAACAATATATTATAAAAATAATAACTATAAAAATTAAAATAATTTAGACCTTAAAATCGCAACAGATAAGATTAACAATCAGTGGAATTAATAATTCGATATTGCCCAACATTTTCAGTAAAAAATTATCGTTTATAGAAAGTTTCTTTATCAGACTATGGTAGCTAACAAAGCTACTTAGAAATGAAAAGGAAAATATGTTTCTTTCTTTCAATAATACTCTTCAGTTATATTCTTCGTTGCCAAACATAAAACACATGCATTAAATCCCTTTAATATCTATTATTTTACAACGTAAAATATTAATTTTTGTTTAGGATTAATATTGCGCTAGTCAATGTACAATTTAGTTACGATAACGTCCGCTTCGACATTTAGTTGAATGAATGCTTTCTAACATCTTTTTGTTCTGTGCTCCAGACTGTGATTGTTCGTTTTCACATGACTCGAAGTTTTTAACAGACACGCATTGATATACAGTTGCGCACAGTTGTGTAATGATACTCCACGCGTTACAAGAAGTCCATGAAACGATAATTTGATTATTAAGATAAAAAATAAAAGTGAAATTATCATACATCGTGAACGTTATATGTGATCGATTATATCGTTTTATCTGTGAAGCAGACTTTTATAACAATTATAACGAAATGTCCGATTATTTCACGGAGATGGGCTGGACGCCTTTGAGTGACGGAGAAGCGCCGAATCATTTAATTCAAATGGCACGGTTCCTTCGAGATTTTGGCATGTGGGACTTGGTCGGGCAAGATACAGAACTTCCACCGCCAGCATCAAAGAACGCTGTGGCTAATTTGCCTGAAATTAAAATTGAATCCAATGAAAACAAACAGTGTCCTGTTTGTCTAAAAGAATTCGAGATAGGCAATAAAGCAAAATCAATGCCTTGTCAGCATGTATTTCATCAAGAATGCATAATACCATGGTTAGAAAAGGTAGAATCAATTGAGTGAACGTATAGAAAAATAATATACAAATTACATCGTGTTATTAAAAATAATAATTACAATCAATTGGAAAAGGAATATGCAAGGAGATTTAATTACTACATATTAAATATTTATAACTTTGTATTTTTAGACTAACTCGTGTCCACTCTGTCGATACGAATTGCCAACAGACGATGAGGATTATGAAATGTACAGGAAAGAAAAGAAACGAGTGGTAGAAAGAGAGAAAGATTTGGAATCATTGCATAATTCTATGTTTACTTAGTAAATGTGTGATATTTAATTTAAAAACTGTCTTTTACTTTATATTATATAAGTTGAAAAATATCATTATTAAAAATGTTCACATCGTCATTAACTAAAGTCTTAAATTAGTTGGGAAGATATTTAGCGTACAATCAGTACATATTGATAAGGTTTATACTTATTTATTAAAGAAAATGTCTCGTAATCAAAAACTATATATAAAAATATATATATAGAGCATATATTTTGTAAAATATATGATATAGAATATAGGATACTGCTTTTCATTTTGTGATGCAAAAGATGATTGAATAAAAAGACATGAATTATTAATAGGAAATAATGTTTATTATACAGTGTACATATTAACTTCATTTATTTTTATTTCTGTTATAAATTTTATATTAATAATTGTATTATGTTTTTTTGCCGAGCGACGAATGCCTTGATCAGTGTGCGCTTAGACTATAACAATCTCCGTAAAAAGTATAGAAACTTCTGATTTTTATTTTGTTCGTTTGGTTTACTCTTTTATTCCTCTTTCTCTCCCTCTCTCTCCGATTGCTTCATCTTTTTTCACGCAATTTCTCATTCTTTCTCTTTCTCTCTCTCCATTTCTTTCTCTCCCTCTCTTTCTCTCAATTTCTCTCGCTCGCTCACTCATTCTGTCACTCTCTCTCGCTTTCACTCTGTCTCTTTCTCACCGATACACGATCGCTATGAACCATATCACCAAAGAGAATTGCCAAAATATGTTGCGCTGAAAACGGCATAATCGTTCGGCATATACAAATAATATTACTCGAAGTTAAAGTAATTGGCGGTTTATTCATCATCCTTTTTTTTTCACTCTTATATCGGTGACGACATTCCGAAAAAAAACGACGCACCGCCGCCGTCGCGCCTACGTGGATGCGATCCTTTCGTAGTTTTTCCCCTTTTCCCATATTTCCCTCCCCCCTCGCAATACTTCACCCTAGAGGGGGTTAGTATGTTATCAATTATTTATATATAATATGCGTAATAATATAAATAATGTCGTTAATATATCTATGATGATTACCGTTTCTTTAATGATAAACTATCTTGAATGATACATTTCTCTGCTAATGGCCATGTCCGTAATAGCTAGTTATGTAATCTGTATGCGAGCTTCAAGTGGGATAAGGTACGTCGTACAGAACTTTCGGCTCGTTAAAGTTACGTTCGAATACGGGAACACGTCCGTGGCGCGTAAATGCAAACGTCGGGAGACCCTTTTTCGTCCATCGATACATGGTTTCAGATTCGACACGACGTCGTCTCAGAATCCATTTTCGTCGATTAACATAATATATCATCTCAACAGAAATATATATGAGGGACAGATTTATATAGATCAATGATATTTAACGTTTTCTTTTCTTTTTATCATAAACTTGCCCATTTCGTATCTCATTCTTTTGACGAAATGTAGATATCCGCGACGTTCGCTAAAAAATATTAGTCCTTTATATACGTCCCCGTGTTCTACCATGATATAGAAATGTACGACGTTATTTTTTTTTCATGTCACTTACAGACTTCTTGTCGAACGCGTGGATTACTCCATTTTCTCGCTTGCATCAAATGTATGTATCTAGCTTCCTAACGTAAGTGTTAAGTGTAATTACTTTTATTTTTTTTTATATAATCCATTAGCTTCTTTTTTCTCGTTATAATAATAATCGTCATTCCATAATAATCATAATCAATAACCATAATAATAGCAATAATAATAATATTAACCATCATCATCGTCGCGATCATAAGTCCCGATGATGCTGTTAATTCGTCCATATCGATATATATATATATATTTATATGTATATATATATATGTATATTATATATATATTATATTTTATATTACACGTTCCTTATGAAAATAATAATTCAAAGTGGCATATCTTCCGTTCGCACGCTATTCCCATTCCTGCATCGCGCCCCTCGCGCCTCCACCCCTCGCTCATCTTCTCGTATTTTACTTCTCGCCCTCGATAAGAGTGACTTTTACAAATAACTATTTATTCTACAGGCATCGGCAGAATTTCTCGACGTTTTGCTGTGCGGTAAATAATCCGTCGTAATTTGCAATACATGCCTTTCCTAATGTATTTACGTTACGTAAATGTTTATACACGTCACAATTGCAATTCTCATTTCGTCAAAAAATTCTGCCATTGAGTGCTTCAGCGAATCTTCGGAGATTTCGATCGAACGCAAGCGTTCGTTCCTCTTTCTCTCTCTCTTTCTCGCTCTTTGCTATAAAATTACAACTTCATCCTCGCAGCACTCGACACTGATGTCACCGACACTGCGATATCGTTTCTCACACAGCAATACTAACTTATGCTGGAATGTCTGTCAATTCATTTCATCGTGTGTGATATCGTACTCTTGCATATAATTATTTTCTAGACTCATTTTCGCACGTAATATATATTACAGGTCAATGGAACTTAGGATTGTCAATCCTAAGAATAATAGAATTAAAAAAAATGCTTAGATAGCAATACTGTTAATCTAATGCTAAATGTTGCACTAGTATCATTTCTGATGATTACATATTATTTGTTCATATTATATAGCATGGTGGTACAATCCGATATAATGGCAATGTACAATATCTCTGATAATAGTAACTGACAATTCACAGCAGTGTCGGTGACATCGCGTTTTTAACATTGACAGAGGAACGCACTTTCGGTGCATTATCTTTCGTTTCTCCGCAACACCCGCAAGCCATTGTACATACTTCTCTTTCTCTCATTTCCTCTCTAAACGCATACATGCTACTAGTAATATTATTATCACGCGTGGTCTCATTGTTCTGCGCGCCACTCTAAGCTCAACACGCTGATATGCTAATAACGCTCTGTCACACCTTGCGCAACTATCATTTTATCGATTACTTTTGATCTACATGGCATCGGTCATTTATCTTCTCAGCATACGCTCGCAACCGAATCGAATTTGTTAAGTTTCACGAACGGTTGTCGTCTTCCCTCACACTCATATTTTATGAAGTTTCACTTTTTTTTACGTCCGATCCAGTCGTCCGATTTTACAATTCATCACGGAATAATTATAATAATCGCCATTGGCCGGATATTAATATTATTATTTGTAATAATATTTGCAGTAATAGCGACAGTAGCATTGATAATAATAATACACTAATTAAACAATAATAATCTTAATTGGTAATAGCAATAAATCAACCATCATCTATTTACTCGATCAACTCGTAAATTTTTTCACACTCGCTTGTAACGCATTACCGTCAAATGTTAATACTATTTCACTTGTAATAAATAATTATTGTAATGCGTTTCTTCGTTTCATAGCATTGCTAACTAGAAAACTTTCCCTTCTTTAACACATCCTGTATTTTGTACCAGAATATATTATTGTATTAAAATAAAAAAAACTAGTCTATATAGTTGCATGTATAAAAACTTATAGGGCATCCTTATGCCTTGTCATAAACATTGTCAAAACAATCGAATAATAAAATAATAATGTATTTTGACTAGATCAATTAAGCTATTAATGCACATTCCCTGCATTATCATTGGCGAGAGTTATTCTTAAACAACAGGAATATAAAACCCAACTAGGATTTTATTTGGGAGCGTGCCCAGATGTGTTCTCGCTACTTCTTCCTCATCTTCTTTTTTCTTTTTTTTTTTCTTTACGCCGTATTACGCGTTTCGGTCCGATTTGTCATCTGATTTGAAGATGCGAGCGTAGCGATTGTAAATAATTGTTATACCGTGGGGCACGGTCTCTCTTTCTCTCTCTCTCTTTTTCTCTCATTTCGAGGGTCATACCTGCGAGGGCGAGATTCGTCATGAAGGGGAAAAGGGGCGATGCACCTCCATTATCAAGCGCCTGGCCCGTTTCTGCGAACTTATTATTTTCATACACTATCATAGTTAATACTTCCACTAGGACATTACGTGTGCACCGGCATGTACGTACACCCTGTGCTATGTGTAGTTTTCCTATGTACAGATATCTTCTTCCGACTTACTGCGACGAGTATCGTGGCGCATTCTCAGGACCGTCGAAAGACGGAAATCTTTTCGTTCTCATCCGGTTTCAATTATTGGCATGCACGGCTGATTTTAATTATGCTCATTTACGCTTTCGGCGATCCCAATCGCCCCGAGAGTCGCCCCGAGTCTGATCGAGGAAAAACTCGTATTGTTATGTCGGGGTTTGATTATACTACGCAACGTTCTCGGGCCCCAAGCGCGAAAGCGCGAAACTCGGGGCCGCCGATTACAAAATTTTATTGTATGCCACGCCGAAATCAACAATAAAACTGATCTCATCCCTTACGACTTGTATAATATCTTTCTCCCTCAAGGCTCAACGATACTTATCGTGTTGCGCCCAAGTATGCGTATGTATGTGTGTATGTGTGTATGAATTATGCGTATCTTATCAAGTTTATATTAAGTTCGTGGGTGTATGTATTTGTATATAGTTGTGTGTGTGTGTGTGTGTGTGTGTAAATGTATACTCGTGTCTATGCTAATCGCGTACTTCTTCTTTTTTATATATACTCGACTCTCACCCGCGCCTTTTCTCATCAACTCTCAATTTCGCTTCCCTATATTCAATATGTAAAAATATACAGGTTAGGTATTATATAGTCGTAAGTACAGTTAAAAAATTCTACACTTTTAGTCTCGAGTACGGGATGCAGTCGGATCGTCCTCAGAGTGATCTACGGCGGTCGAAAGCAAATCCAAATCCGAGAACGCAAGTGAAACGCCATCGTAACTCGACATCGTCGATCGGACATGCCACGTGTGAGGAGAGTACGTAGCAAAGATTAACGCAATTGCGAACGCCTTTTTTCTTTGCCAAGCACGATAAGAAATAAAACGGGTCGTACAAGTATCAATTGTATCACGTTTCTCGTTTTCACGTTTCGTCTGGATAAAGCACCGACCGTCATCACGCAAGACGCACTCTTTTTCACACCGACCGCCGCACAATATATTAGCAGTTCCTTTGCACTTTCGTAAGGATACCTAAACTATATATGTATATGTATATATATTTTTTATATAGCAATTATTTAAAGATTTGTTCACGCGTGGATGTATCTATAACGTCCGATACGATCGACATTCTCTCGAATGGACTCAAAAACGACGTGTCCTGACTAGAGATCACTAAAAATCCCGCGCGCCCTTCTCTCTATCCCCCCCAATTCTGACTAGATCCGCAGACTTTTAAGTCGTAATTGCACTGTTTTCGAAATTCCTGCAAGCGAGCGTTAAAGTCAGTCTCACG